AGAAGTCAAACAAAGTATCTGCAAGATTAGTACAGGTAGATAAGCCTGGAATGAAACCGTGTTGTTCTTGAGGTATTATGCGGAGTCTTCGTGAGCCAAGCCAACAACCTTTCACCACCTTAACAGGAGTGGGAGCAAGGCTGATTGGGCGGAAGTTGCTCAGTGTGGATAACTTGGGGGACTTCTGAATAGGAGTGATAATAACATCTTTCCAGAGCTGAGGGACATCTTGTGTTAGTAAGGAGAGATTAAACATGATAGCCAGCGGCTTACACAAAGAAAGTAACATTTTTTATAAACTATTTGTGGGATCCCATCATAGCTCACTAGTTGAGAGATAGAGCTTTTTTTTAGGATGATGGAAACCGAGTAAGGATCAAAGAAGACCTCCGTGAGAGTATTATTGACATGTGGGAAGTACGTGAGGTTCCATTCATGAGAGAAATTGGACGTGAAAATACTAGAGAAATGGTTAGCGAGTGCCTCTGCTTTGTCCGCGTCACTACGGTAAACCCTACCCGTGTGGTCAGATAGTGTGGGGAGTAACTGGTTTGGCTTCAGCTTGCGCCGAAAGTAATGGAAAAGCCGTTGTAAGGAAGCATGGCGATCCAAGCCGGCGCTCATAGTTAGCGAGGAACTTTCTCAAATGGTGATCTAAATCAGAACAAACTTTTCTATAAGGTGCGCTTCCGAGAGGGGAACTTTCTGAACGGAGGCTTTGTTTTGTGCTGCAGTATTCAGTTAATGGCTCGAGGTTATTTAAGACCAGATCCATTTGAATAGAACAGTTCCTGCAAGCCCGCCTGTAAACCACACCAACAGAATCGCTGGTATATTGTCATCCATCGAGGAATACTGATCAAAAAGTGCCCACCAATCTACGCTCGAGAAGAAGTTGTTGAGGGCAGCAAAGTCAGTGTTCAGAAAGTCTGGTCTAGGAACATGGCAATGGGAAACTAGACTCTTCAAGAAGATCGAAGGAAACAACGTTATGATCTGACGTAGCCAGCGGAGGTAAGACTGAAACATTCGAGATATTTTGTGAGGTAGAAGAGTATGAGATCAAGGACCTTTCCATTATGGGTTCTTTGTGGAGTTTTGGTTTGTTACTTATTTGTGGAATTACGAAATTTTTTTTCTCTGGCGAAGCTGGGACTGGTATATAAAAATTGGTATAGATATCGCAAAATCTTATGAACTCATGTGTATGGACCTTGATATGGCCTGCTTTAGAGCGAAAGTAGCTCTGACTTACAGGACGCCTGCGTGTCCCAAGGTTGTTTTCAACAAGTTGTCAAAGCAATCGGCTAGGCAGCGAAGGCTCCTTCGTTCCTCTGGACAGCTTTGATCTCCACGGAATCTTCCGGCTCAAAGCAAGAAGATAATCCAACTCTTCATTCTGCTCAGCGCTTTCGTTCTCTGGGATTCTACGGCTTAGGGCAAGAAGTTCTCATCAATTTTAGTCAACATTCGAAAAACAGCTTTCAGCAGGGAAAATCGACAACCTCACAGGCGCTCAACGACTAGAAAACTCACCTTGACAATCATCTTTTGAAACCCCGAACTGGGCGGGGAGTGGTCGAGATGGGCGGTGATTCCCGCAGAATCCCGCCACTTGGTCTCAGTAGCAGAATGAAAGAGTACCATGTGAAGAGAGATAAGCGCGTTTGTGGTGCGTTGATGGTGGAGGGCAGTGACACCGTTGCACCGTCTTCATGCTCCCTCGTGCTGCTGTACGACCAGCCACACGCGAACCACAGCCAAACTGCTACAGTGGGCGGAGCGTATCCTCTTACCGAAAGTATTTATTTCAGGAAACTGTTGCAGAGCACTAGAGAAGACTGATTAGCTGCAGACTAGCTAAAAAGATGGAGACTCACTCCGGGCGGAGCGTGCGTCGAGGTGGGTGGGACAAATTCAACAGTCCAGGAAACGGTTTCAAAACAACCCAGGTGCCGGAAGAAAGTGGACCAAGGTTGCGAAGGGTCAATGGTGGAAAAGGAAGGGACGGAAGATCCCGTGGGCTGGGGCGTGCGCCAAAGAGGGTGGGACGGTGCTCAAAAGTTCGTGTTTCTGTCCATAACAGCCTGTAGACTGAGAAAGGAAGCAGTTGGCGTATTGGTAATTACCAGTGGACCGGAACCACTCTTGGGTGGATTTTACAAGATTGCAAGCACGCACCGATATAGCCGTCGACCAAATGGCGAACTTCATGGTGAAAGCTTTGAACAAATATTAAGCAAAGCGTAGTGATCAGTGATTCCAAGCTACCTTGCCCAGAACGCTGCCCGATTGGAAAATATTGACAGGCACATTCGAAGCAAGGAGATCTGAGCTAATCGGATGCAAAGTGTCATTGCTCGCCTGTTGTCCCTTTCCTTCATCAGGTTTTTCCGCGTTTACTGGTGCTGGTGTACTGGTCCAAACCCTTCCTCACTCAATCTCTGGCAGGTAACTGAGTTTGAGTGAGCGATAAGATTACCTACTATGTTGTAAGGCTGCATATAACACATGATTCCTCTGAGACACCCATTTTTGCAAAAAATATCACCAACCAACAAGTCTATTCTAACATGTGTTGACGGCGACAAAGGATCAGTGGGTAGGCAAAGTCGACTTCCACGCTGGATCTCTATTTCTTTGCCTCCATCATCGGCTATCTGCTCAGTCAGTGAGAGGAAAGCGAAGAGGTTCTTTTGGAATAGATTTATCAATGAGAAGTGAATTGGTCAGATCCGCCTACAATGACAAAATTTTGTGTTGTGCTATCTACAGAGTATCGTCGTGTGTGATGGTCCTGAGTTCACCGGTTAGCAGAGACCGCATGACCTGCCACAGTAAGACCTCTTCTGGGCAGTTGTGTAGAATGCGTTGGCACAGAATCCGTTCGCCACCCATGTGGCACAACTGTAAGCAAATACTCATGTGCTATTCGATTGATTCGAAACTCCAGAAAACCCTACCTCGAACTTGAGTCAGAGCACGTGCTGGATGCACTGGCAGCTACAAAAAAGGGTTTCAATAGAACGATAGAGTGCTCTAAGAGAATGGTACCAAAAATAACCTGTAGTGACTGCAACTACAGCTGCAGCTGTCGTGACCGCTGCGGGACAATATCCACAGGTCCTCATGCAGTTCGTCTGAAGAATAATACCGTAGACAATTTCCGCGATCACATGTTCACTTTCAAATTGTAGATGATTGTAAGATAAAAGGAATCGAAGTTTCACCTTGACGAAAGATTGCATGTCGACTTGTCTGCAGATAGAAGGGTCATTTTTACATTCGATTACTGTATCGACGCATCCTCCTAATTTCGAATAATTTCGAATAGGCCTAACTCAATGAAACCTCCAAATAAACTAGGATTCACTGTACCGTCAAGACACAATCCGCAGACATTTGGGCAGTCTTGGGCAAGGATCGGTCTCCACGTGGGATCTCTGCACTGAGCAGGTGTTACGGTCGAACACTTCACTCGTGGGTCTAAATTACTCAACTAGACTATAAAACTGGTTGAAGCATCTGATTTAATTCATCAACTCACAATCAGCGTTTTTACACTGGTACTCGGGGGTCATGCAACAGTAACCGCAATGTTTCGGGCACACTGGCAATGGCTAACGCCTTCACATCTTCGTCCTGAATAGAAATTTTCTTGACAATAATAATAATACTGTCGCCATTTTAAGTCTCTCACCGTTAGACATTTCGCGTCTCTGTCCGTTGTCGATCCTGCTACAACGGCAGTACCGAAAAGTGTTGCACACGTTGTTGCTGCGTACTTGTCATCGCATGCGGTTGCAGATGCAATGAACTGAAAATAGTAGGTCACTGAAACGAAGCCATCGAAATTCTGGGACTCTTGAGAGCTGTCACCTTTTACCTTACCCCGGGCACTATTGCGTCGTTCACCATATGCATGGTTAGAAATACAAGTGGAGTTTCGGAAAATTAGTATTGCATTTAGACATCCGATAAAGTCGAATCAAAGAAGGAGAAATCCAGTAAGGGAGTTAAAATGTTTATTGCTTCAACTGTCGAATTACACGATACTGTAATAAAAGCAGTAGGTAGTCGTGCAATAGCAGTTAGCTGCCGACTACTTGATAGAACAGGTTTCCTTCAAATGTAAATTGGAAATTGGCGCTGGAAGAACGGGAACGCAGGGCGCGTTCCATAAGAAAAACCGATCGGCGGGTGCTGGACTCTTCTTTGTATAAAATTATTACTGCCTATGCACAGTGCTTTTTACAGGAGTACAGCAATACCGTGGTGAGTCACATTGGTCAGGACTTATTCAGGAGACCTTACGGCGGCCCCTTCATTGAGGCAGCTCACTGTATACTGGTTTTCATTTCTTCTTGCACGGCCCTTGAACTATTCGCTGGCCGAATTTCACAGGAGGAATGATTATCAGTGAGAACTACGACATACCGCTGTTGCTGTGGCGTCGCCGTTGGTGCAGTTCATGTCAGTGAACGCTGCAGAAACACTTGACGCCAAAGCGAAACAGACGACCGCGATGCACAACATTTTACCTGAACATTTCAATGAAAACACTTCACATGCACGTTCCCAATGAGATTACGAGGGGTTCATCAAATGAAATGTTCTGACTTTTTCTGGAAGTTCTTAGCGTGAAAGATGTAAAACCCACAAAACTGCAAAATTTTGAGATACTGGGCATTTCCATCTGCATATGGAATCGGAAGGCTAGCGAAGTGGAAGAATGTCCAGCTTCTCTTTGCGTAAATGCCGGCGTTAATGCTGTTACGTATGTCCTTCTGTGCTACAATGTTGCTAAGTGAAACCCTTTATTGCGCCCCGTCGTTTCGACTGGACCGTCTTCATCAGGGGCAAAGACCACCACTGCGGGAGCGGAAGCTGTCGCTCTGCTATTGGACAGTAGAACATGACAGTATTTAGTAAATAATAAAAAATGAGATATTGTAGGGTAAACCAAGGGAGCGGCAGCTTCCCTTTCCCACACTAGTGGACTTGGACTCTGATGAAGATGGGATGGCCTAAACGAAAGATCAGCTTGCAGTCACGTTCCAAACCCCGCGACTGCACTTTGTGAGCATTGGCCTTCGTTAACGAACCCATAGACACAAGGCGATTATCCAGAGAAGAAAAAAGTCTTTAAATTATGAAGACCGCAAGGACTCCATGATCACCGTGAGGACTCCCTAGCAGCCTCCCCAACAAGATGTCCTGCTCGTTTTATGCCAATAAAGTGATATTGCCGCCTATGGTTCACTAGTCATTTCTTCCACGAAAAACATGGTGCAGAACCTGGACTTATGACAAAAAATAGCTTTCGAGCTCAGGTTGGTGGGGGAACTAGGGAACTAAGGCGCAAACCTGCCACTTATAAGGGCCGCAGCGCCTTCAGTACTTTCTGTGGAGCCGAGAAAGTGGGGAATCCAAGACGCTGAGGACAAGACCACTTGTACAAGGAAGGACCCCTACGAACTAGTTGAGCGCGGGGATTGTCTTCCACAGTTTAGCATAGAAAAATACTTAAAACAGTCAAGAGTATCGCAGAATTGAAAGAAGTGAGGCCAAGGTGGTTTTTACGGGTTCTGCTGAGCACTTTCGAGAAATGCATTCTAGAAAAGGGATTCTAGAAAAAGCGAAACTGATTGGAATGGTTCTGTGAGGCTGGTTCACCTTATAAATCATGGCCATGGCAGCTCTTCACGTGGGCTCATACATCTGATCAAACATGTTGAGGATGTTCTATCATTTGCGAACCCGCATTGTTAACAATGGCTCATGCTGAATTTTCCTGACATCGCCCTCACAAGAGTCTAAGAGATCATTTAGTGTCAGAAGAAGAAACTCTAAAAAAGATTATACAAACAGGAATAAGTTCTCCAGCAAATGGCCTCTGATCTTCCTTACTACGCTGAGCACTGAGTTGCCCAAGGTTTTCCACCCTACAGTTTTTCTTTTACGAATTTTATGATATTATTACATGGTATTTTCAAATCAAATGAGGCGAGCTGGTATAGTGGCAAGTGGACCGCTTACCACGCACGCGCGTCTGGGGATCGAATTGTAGATCGGCTTCCGTCCACGTCAACCAAGCCTTGTACCCTTCCGGGAACGGTAAATTGGTACCAGATTCGTCTGGGAGGATAAAACACTGACTTGTACATCGGCTGGCCCCCGCAAGTCATTGTATAGGCCACATCGCATTCAATAAGCCACTACGATTCTGAATGGAAGTAGAATGTATGCCGCATCCCACAAAGGGATTGATCATGAGCTAGGCTCTATCTTTCTTTTCAAAAAGCGCATCAACAAGCATTTCGCGTGATCCTCAGCTGGACACAGGATGCAAGCGAGTCGTAGTAGCGAGAAAGTTACTTACATTCAAGGCAAAGTTATGCAGTACCGCACGGCAGCAGCTACAATTTTTCTACTTCCTCGGTCTTGTTGTGATACAGCGAAGTTCCATCCACCGAAAACGTTCCTCGCAATGTCTTGGATCGTTTCAGATTGAAATCCCTTCATTTGCTTCGTCCGTAAACGAATAATTGTGCGGTTGACAAGAATAAGGACTTTTCATACCCTTTCGTCATCGATTCGTACATTTTCTTCAGTCTCTCATATCTTCTCCTACTTGGCTTTTGCTCCATGCGAAACACGGTTGCGATCAAGAAGTACCACGTGTTGAGGTCAAAAGCCGCCTTGTTGCGGCATGTGGCGATTGGCAGTGAGCTAACATTTGCACAGCCCATGATCCAAGCACAGGGAACAATGCGAAAAACCATACCCGCAAGTTCACTTCCTCTTCCGCCGCAATCTTCAGCTAACACTGCAGGCCAAGATTGGATTATTGTCGTAGTATGAAAAGAAGACTAGTTATTTATTCTGGAAAATAGCAGGAAAAAAATAGTACCATGTTTTTGTGGAGTATGGAAGCTCAACAGTAGTGCAGTGGAGGGAATACGCTTGAAAGGGCAACTAGTGAAAGTGGAAACGAGAAGATCACATAGCTCCATAACAAATTAGTAATGTTGCGTAAAGGTGTCAGAGCAACTATTTTCTTCTTCCCATTATTGCTAATCCAGGGCCGTAATTATACTCTCTGAACTTTTGGACGTTTCCCTATCAGGAGCTTTGTCCACCATAACTTCGGCTTCAGTGAACCTCTCTCAATGGTAACATTCAATCATTCTCTTGGAGCTCATGAGCTCATTGCAATCGCCTTCCATGGGCTTCATGATCTTTTGTACCGCTCTCAAAGGTTCATTCCGGGTGAGCTGGCGCCCAGTTTTACCCGTCGCCGTTGCCTCCTTTCGCTACCATCGCTCGTGAAAGCGACGTCACCCTTTGTGAAGTCAGTCGCAGCGGCCCTCATTTTACTCACCTTGCCATTTCGCTATAGGAACCTCCCTTCCAAGTCCACTACTCCTTCACCCAGTCGGCTCTCAATTAAGAAGTTCTTATACCTTACAACCTTATCTTATATCTTGAGAAATCCTGGTAGCGCGTCTATGCGTGCGTGAAAAACCAAATTAGTTAATCGGTAAATGAATCAAATAAAAATAAATGAATAAAACAAATAAATAAATAAAAATAAACAAACAAAGCTGAATTACTGACTTCTCTGTCAGACAAACCTGCATGGAATCTCCCTCTTGAAATACTACCGGTTTCTCTTCAATTGTGAGATCGAGACCGTGTTAGAGACGGATCGGATGAGATTACTGGCAGTGGATTGTTGGCAATCGCTGCTGTCACCATCTCTACTGGATTCATCATCATAGGAGAGTGAGGAACGGCCGCTTCTTGAATCACCTACAAAAAAGTGATTTATTTACTATGGTGGTCTAAAATTTGGGTAAAAGTAATCGGTGGAGGAAGGTAAGGGGCATGCGGAGGTTTGACTACTACGCTAACAAGGGAGGTGTTTCAGGTCATCTTTTTGGAAATGGTTTGTTGCTTGTTGTAGGGGTCCATACAAGGGTCACAAAAATGGGTTTCATTTTTGCTATGCGTTTCTGGGTAGGTCAAAAACTGAGTGAAAAGAATTTGACAAGGAATGGGCGGTTTTAACAACCTTAATGGGCTCCGTTCTGCTTGTAACTTCGAGCATGCATAGTTTATGAGGTGGTCACTAATTAGGCCTCAAAATAGATTCGATTAAAGTCAAAATGTAAGTATCATGTGGTAACACATGATGCTTACACACTTGGCACGCACCGACGCAAGTGTATGTTTTTGTCAGCGCTCCCTTCATGACCATTGCTTGCGGATCAGATGGCGTAGCGGATAGCACGATGGGTTCTGTATGGCACGACAATGCGGGACTCGGTTCGGATCCTCATTGCGGCACAGTTTTGCATCTGTATCAACGCAACGAGACGTGAACATTTCCGGAAACAAGGTTCTCCACACAACTGTGCTGGTTTGTAAGGTGTCATCCAGGAAAGGCCAATAGGACAGCCTGGCCATTTGCAGTGAGTGCATATCATTGTACTCGTCTTGACACATGAACTCGAAACTACCTTTAAAATTTGCGGAACGATTCTCTGAGCGGACTTATATAGGTTTTCCTTCGCTGTTTTTCTTCTTGCGGGTGGGCTGGCGCAGTGAATTTGCACCTGTAGCGCGACTCACAGCTCTCTCCGTGCGAAATAGATATCATATTCGTGTTCAGGGGGTCAAACAACCTCTAGAAAAGAAACCTTGAGGAAATCCGAGGTTCTGACTCAACTTCGAAAAAATGGGGTAGAGATGGTCGCGCCTGGATGATAGCCAATAATCCGACTAGCATACTGGTGATGACTGGTCTTTGCACTGAAATAACCCTTCAGTCATGTCTTTTCGCAAAGAACAATACCTGGCTCACTTGTATGAGCCGCCTGCATCATTTTCCTGATTACCGGTAGAAAATACCATCCCAAGACCAGTCATCCATGGTGGGTGGACCCCGCCTGCTGCCAAATGTCCATAGAATGGCCCACATTTTCCAAGTAAGGTCGAAACGTCAGACTTGGCTAGAAATTAGTCCCCAATCCAACCCGCTGAACATAAATGTGATGATGGTTCATGGCCCAAGAGCCGGTTTGTGGTATCCTTTTGAATGCTGTAAAGGTTAGCGGGCAGCGGGAAGTGTTCAGACGACCCTTAAAACAACCGCAACACGCCGAAAGAGAGGGAGAATCAGGAAAAACCCTGACCCCAGTATTCTCTTTCCAAAAAAGTGTTTTGTTTCAGGACCCTCATCGTCAATATTCATTCCGCTGAACTTGCGACGAAAGTGCAGCTGCGGTATTTTCGATCAAATGGCACATGTAGCAATACCCTGACGCACCCCATGGCACGGTCGAAGAAGGTTGGAGACATGTTCCAGCTGGCGAACGTGGCATCCATCTCCGAACAGGAGTGTTGGAGAGACGAACGGAAGGAAGAAGAGTTGCGGATGAAGAACTCGCAATATAATGACGCCTTACGGTCTCGCCTTTGCCATGCAAGCCCACCGCCGTCGCTGCCACCTTCATTCGGAAGCCATCGAT